AACAATATTGTTTTGGCTTCTATCCCTGATTAAATGGACTACTTCTAATTGAGTATATGTTAAAGTAATTAGAACTTATTTCAGTCTTTTTGTTTTTTAAGAATTCAGAAAACACTTCTAGAGTTGATTAAAAAAAAGATTCTTGGGACTGGAGTAATAGCACAGCGGGTAGAGCGTTTGCCTTGCACGCGGCCTACCTGGGTTCAATTCCCAGCATCCCATATGGTCCCCCAAGTACCGCCAGGAGTGATTCCTCCCCTGAGCACCAACTGGTTTGATCTCCCCTCAAAAAATAAGCAAAAAGAAAGATTCTTAAACTTTATTTATTTCTAGAACCCTTTGTATTGTAAAAGCTAAAATAGATTAATATTCAAACAATTATTCTTCAAAAGGATTATAATGTCAAGTTCAAAAAATGCACTAGAAGATATTCAGATATTCAAAGGAGTAAGTGGTATATACTCTCTCACAAAGAAAAAAATTGCATGAGACCCAAGACTAAACATACTTCTTTTATAAGAACTTTGTAATTAATAAACATAAACAATATTTAAGAAATCTCTCAAATGAAGTATTCAGTCTAAATGACAAAGTCTTTTCAAGTGACTTATTTGGTGTTGGTAGCATATTAGAGCATTTATATAACCATGTAAATTTCACTGCAATTTTCTGTCATTTATGAACCATATTCATAATTAATACTAAATCATGTCACATTTCAATAAAAACATTCAGTCGGAATACTATAATAAAAAGCTTAAAATAACATAAACTATCTCTGAATTAAATTCTGAAATTTCTATCTCCTGCTATAGGAAATTTGTATTTTTATCACAACGCACAATTTGTGTTTACCATAAAAATGTAGTTCACCCCTAGTAGAATAGCTTCAATAATTATAAACATAATACTCCTTAATTTCACCATGCACACACTATGTAATGGGTAAATTATACTGCCTGAGGTTTTAAATAGTCCTCAATGATTGAAAGATGCCAGTGGAATAAAAATGTGGACTATAGAAATAGAAGTAGCTTCATCCTTAAGGTTTAATGAATAAGGCAATACAATGCACATGTGTGTCAGTGGAATGATTTAGCAAAATTATCTACTAGTCATGTATCCTAGGGGTCACAGAGCACCTATTTTTAAAATAAAATTTATCTTTATTTTTCAGCAAAATATAAAAAACAAAACACTAAATGTAAGGCCAAAATGTTACATTTATCCCTTAAGAAAAAGTAAAATCATGAGTTAATATCTCACTCAACTAATCCTTTAAAGTGTCAATAGTTTTCTTTATCTGATCTCAAAATTGGAGAAAAAATACAGGTTAATGTTCTTCCTTATTAAATTTTTTCTCTTAAAATAACTGAGTGGTTATAATATGAATCTACTGCATAGTATTTTTATGTATAGGTTGAAATATTGTTAGATATCTGTGAGCATCTCATTCCAACTGCATAACAACACAGCAATAGTATCAGCAGAATGCAAGATCCTAATTTCACCAGTTAGAAAACTCAGCAAAACTACCAAGCTAAAAGTGCTTCAAGCAGCAAGAGGAATCAGAACCCTGGCTAAAATGAACAAAGGGAAAGGATGGTCATTCATGAGGAAAAAAAGTAAAAAACTAATGTAACATATGGTGATCATTTAAACACTGATGTCATAAACAGGAACTGCTTTTACTCTGAAAATGCATTTGATGACAGAGAAGCAAAAATAATGGAATAAGGTAAAAGGGTGGGGCAATTATCCCTTAAGAAACCACAGTTCTTGCTAGCCTCTCTTGAGGGAAAAAAAAAAAAAAACCAGAAAACCACCTCTGGCTGGTGTCACAGATAAATCTAGATGAATCATCTCAAAACACATTAAGCACAGGAATCCCATTTTTGAGAAAGGTGTTTGTGTGCGAGTGTGTGTGTATATGTATGTATGCATGTGTATGTATGTGTGTGTGTGTTTGTGGTATTCATACATGTGATACTGAGAAAGGTGTGCAGGGCACAGCAGATTGGTATTGCTCAAGGTCATTTTCCTCATGAACAGAGAAAAGAAAAAATGACAAAATGAAAGAGACTGAGTAACAGGAGTGAAGTGACAACTTCTTTCCACTTGCCTTTCTGATCACATCTGTCACATGGAGTGTCCAGACTTTCCTATTGTTCTGCCCTCCTGAGAGTCACCAAAAGAGGGCTTAATTTATGGAAAGAAGGGAAATTTCCTATCAATACCTGATAATCTTAATCCTGTAGTGTTTACCAGGTACACAGGACTGGGCTCTCCAAGCTGTTTTGCATATTCTATCTCTTTTGTCAGGGGAGAGGAGATGGCTGGCAATTTTTTAAAATGAATTTCCATATATAAAGTTATATGCTAGAAGACCTATTCCCTGTAATATCTTATGCAATAAATAGCATTTTAAACATGGATCATACCAAGTTGTATGTTTTTGCTTCTTAGTACTCAATATCCCTGGATAAGGTCAAAGGACAAGACTTGGTGGGAAAAAGATAGGAGGAAGTGATATCAGGATGGAGATGGGAAAAATATTATTTTCTTAAGAATATATCCTCCACCACCATCCCATCATTTTTAGGCATTCTATTCACAAAGATGTCTTATTTTCTTACAAATGTCATGAGTCTGATGCAATTTCTGTTGCAATAATATTCTAAAGGTAAAAAATTAGGGGACAGGGAAATGTCCTTGTCAGATTTTTGGCACACATTCATTAGTTTTCTAAGATTTTCAGAGTGATGCAGGAAGTACAAATCATCTGAAAATGGAAATAAAAGATAAAAGAAAAGGCTTTCTCTGTATTTTATCCAAAAATTCCAAACTATTTTTAAGTTCTTATGCAGGGAGTAGCCCCCTTTGGAGTCCTCAGTGGTGTTGGTGGTGTGTCTTTTGGTTAAAATCCAGTTACCCTCTGCATCCTTTCTTGATTCTTCCTAGAGCTCCAGTTAGAGCAATTCTGCCTCAAGAGTGCCCTCTTCTTCCCATCTGGGGGAGGAGGAGGGTGGGGCGTTGTGAAGGATTGGGAGGCTGTCCTTATAGTGATATTCCAGCTGGAGGTAAAACAGGAGTATAAATGACCTGATTAGGAGAGCAAGAGGAGAAAGAAGAAAGAATAGAAATCCAGGGAAAACAGTTTCAGATTTTGAAGCCTGAAAATTCACGCAGCATTGGAATATCAAGATAATTTTGCAGTCAGCTTTCCACCTCTGTTCCTGAATATTCATTTACAAGGGAGGGGTGGGGTTTGGAGGATGGGTTGGAAGGCACAGGAAGTCGGGCAGGACACCACCGCCCTCCACGGTCTCTCCACCTCCTTCCTTTCATATTCAGGCGGCCACCTCAGCCATGACGCGCCTGCTGTCTGCCAGGGGGCCTGCTGAGCCCTCCTGCCCCGCCTCAGGAAAGTGTCAACGCGGCCCTGGCAGCTGCAGTGGTGGAGCCCAGCCCCCAAGCCCGCTGCATCCACGGCCTTGTAGCACCACCAGCCTGCGAAGGCTGCAGCAGCAGCCGAGCCCAGACTGGAGAGGAGTTGGGGACATCAACGCGCAGGGACTGCACGAGCAGCTAGCTAGTGGACAGCTTGTAGTCTGCAAATGCCATCATATGGATATCTATAGAAACGCAGCAAACGGAGAGAAAGCAGGCAGCGCCCCTACACTTTCTAAGCAGCTGTAGCAAAAGAGAAACCCCAAGATTAGTCCCAGTAGCGCTTCTCAGAACAGAGTGCCTGGCTGGAGTGCTGGGCCCTGGTCAAATCCTCTGCTGGGTGCAGCCAGAGTGAGCTCCCAAAGGCGGGAGACAAAGGAGCACTCCTTAGCTGAATTATTCAGACCATCTTCACTATCAAATAAAACATTGATGAGACTACTTTGCAAGTGCTCTATCTTGTTAATCCTAATGCTTTCTAGAGGGAGGGAAATTTTTAGAAGGGGATGCTGAGGCATTGGACAAGGAAAATAAGAGAAATAATATGTGAGGGTATGGTGTTGGGGAAGTTAACTAAATTTGATCAGTCTCAACTGGCCCTAGGAATCTCCATTTTAATATATCAAACCCAATATGCAAATTAGGCAGTTGCATACCCACCCTACTCTAAGAATGAAGGCTCTTTTCAGAATTTCTCTATATTCATTTAATACAGAGACAAACAAACCAAAGGAAAAAGAGAGAGAAAAGAATAGAAAAGAACACACAGAAATCCAAGCCCCTCTTCCAAGACCAAGACAATACAGCTGGGATAGTGTTGAGGATGGTGGGATGGTGGTTATGGTTTTATCCATACTCCTCTAGATGTAAAAATGACTTCTTTTATGAGTCTATTTTACTACAAAAAAAAAAAAAAGCAAACCCTCGCCGTTGAACACCATATTTCAAACACACACTCCTGATGATAAATCCCTTCCATGCAATGCAAGTTCCAAGAAAACTCCATTTCAGATTAAAGTCTTCAGATGCGTAATTTACAACTACTAAAGGATCTGGCAAGCTCTTTAACAATAAGAAAAGGAAAACAACCTAGCACCAGAGGTAGAGAAGGGTCAAAATGATCCTTGGCTGAAATGATGGGTGGAAACCAAACACCCTCATGCACTCCCCAATCTAGGGAGGCTTGGATACCAAATGGTCCGTGGCAACCATAGCCTGAAGGAAACACAAGATTTTAATCTCTGGCATTTTAAGGCAGGTTGAACATGCTTAGCTTTCAAAACAAAGCCAGTTTTTTTTTTTAACCCACATCACTTAGGGTGGAGCATATCCATATTCCCTTAGCGTTCACTGCCAGATTAAGTGCTCTGGTATACATTTAGAGTCCACCTCTTTGAAATTATATTAGAACATTGCAGAGCACCCACGGATACCCAGCCTTTTCTAATGATTTTCGAAACATTAATAAGTAAAGTAGCCTGCAATGCAGATAAGACACAAGAAACAAGATCAGAAGGAAACTGGGTGAGGCGGCAAACGTTTGCAGTTACCTGGTGCCTCTAGAGGAAAAGGCGGTCGTAGGAGGACTTTCTGCCCGCAGGTACAATCCCGGCAAGGTGGCTCCAGGTGGCTTTCACAGTCGTATGCGGGTCTTGCTTGTCACTTCGCTGCCCTTTGCCATAGCTCAACACCCGCATCCTAGGGAGTCCGAAAGGCGGCTTCTGCCACTGCTGCCGCTGCCCGCAGGTCGCACTGGGTGGGGGATCCGCGGAGATCGCCCCATGAAACCCGCGTTTCTAAGCCCGGGGAGCGGGCAGAGGCAGGGCGGCCGCGCACGCACACATAGACACACACTCAAACACACTCACACTAGCACCCAGGCGCGCGCGCGCTCACATTCACACTTGCACACGCACACCTAGCACAGCACGGGGAGGGAGCAGCAAAGGAGGGGACTTCTCAGGATCGGCTTCGATGCCCACCGGACCCCAGGCAGCCAAGAGAGCGGTTTGGCATAGCCGCTAGATCACGTTTCCTTCAAGTTCTCCTCCAACCCCAATCCAAATCCATGTATCTCAGGAGCTGGTGACATTTTGGAGGGGAAAGAAACGGGAAGGGGCTGAGGAAGACTCGGGGATTTTGTGAAGCAGTCTGAAAAAACAATCCTCGTTACCTTGTTTGCATAGCAAACCAGCTGGAAGGGCTGAACTTTTAGCTTCAAAAGATGTGGGCAGAAATGATAATATCCTCTCGCCAAGATAGGAAGGTATAGATGCACAAAACCAGGACAGCTTGCAAGACCCTCTGGTGACCTTGTGATGTACCTGGAAGCAGGTTAACACTGGCGCTTTCCAAACCTGTGAGTAAAGTGATCCACACACATGGATTCAGTCAGACAGACGCTCCGAATCCAGCTGGGAAAATGGGTCTGGGCGTCCTCCGCGCTCTGGAAGAACCCAAGCATCCAGGGGCACCGCCGAGTTTACACATTTGCTTCTGGGCAGTTGGATAAAAGACAGCCAAATGCATCAGACACTCGCGCGCGCGCACACACACATACACTCGCGCAGGCACACACACGCGCAGCTAGTTGGAGAGTGGCTTCCAAAATACAGAGGCCAAGAGAACTAAAAACGGTAGATAAGATCCAGCATCTTTCGGGAAAACGGAAGGGACACAGGGAATTTTACGAATATCGTCCCAGAGCTTTCATTCTTGCTGTCCTCTGAGTGTGTGTTTGTGTTTCCAGAGAGGTTTTGTGGGTCTGCCTCACCCCCGTCCAGCTGAGCTTTTCTCTCGGTAAGGGTCGTGCTCTCAGCCTAGAGCTCCACCAAATCAAGCATCCTACGGGAACAGGCAGCAGCGGAGCCATTCACATCCTCCGGGGAAGAAGGGACAACACGCGCAAACACACGCACACACCCGCGCACGCACAGAGTCCCCAGTCCGGGCCGCCCTGCACACGCTTGCCACCTCCCAACGCGCCGCTGCACACAACGCCCCGCCCGCGGCCCGCGGCGCCCCGGGGAGTCCGAGGCTCAGGCTGCGATCGTCTCCCGCAAGGGACGGACTGGCCACTCCGGGAAGCGGCGGCGGCGTGTGTGGGATCCTGCAGCCACCCGACCGGGAGGAGCAGCGCCCTGCGCTGCAGCATGGAAGAGGCGGCGACGGCGGCGGCTGCGGGCGCGTGGCCGCGTGGCCGTGGGCCCGGCCCTCGCCGCAGTGACGGGAACTACAGCACCGCCCCAGATCCCCCCCAGAGTCAGGGGGAACCCCGGCGGGGCCCACCAAGGATCGCCGGCCTGTGAACCCGAATCGTTCGCAGCAGATTTACCCAGTGCTCCCGGAGAGAGCCCGCGAAGCTCCTGCGAATCCTCCCGGCAGGGGAGGCGCGGGAGGTGGGAGGCTGGGGCGGGAGGAGGAGTAAAACTGGAGAAAGAAGGAGAACTTCTAGGGGCGTCCCCGATCTCTTGCGATGGGAGCAACTTGCAGACCTCGTCGAGGGTGATGGCATAAAGGGTGTCACCGGGTCGGGCTACTACTAATGGCGATGAGAAAAGTCATTAGCTGTGCACGCGGGATAAAGCTGAGATGCAGCCAACTTGAGGGCTGTCACCTGCCGCCGGCTCCCAGGGTCCCATTATCGGAGATAGTGATCTGCTTACTAATTAGATGAGAGCAAGCAGGCACCAAGGGGAGGGGGAAAAAACACGTTTATATTTAAGAAACGAACCAGCTCGTCTTCAGACATTGAGAGCGATCTCCCAATATGCCAGAAAGCATGAGCAGAAAGCAAGCTCATAACCCATAGCCATCATACTCCAAGCAGGACCACTAGAGTCCCTGGGACAGAGACCATTTCTGAAGCTGGAAAAGAGAAGAGAGGGCTTCCAGTATCTCCAATCCCACCGCCCAAGGGAGAGCTCGGCTGTTTTTTTTCTCTACCAGTCACACTCCCCTGCCCCCAATTTCTCTCCTAGATTTCATCCCTATTCCCTTCAGTTCAGAAAAGGCTTCTTCCTCCAGGGACCCCCAGAGTTATGACACTCGGTTCATTTATGTTAGAGAGTGTGCACCCTCTCTCTGTTCTTGGATTGGTTCACCAGCACTTGGCCTTCGGCCTTAGGAGCATCTCCATTCAACTTCGACCCCCGTGGTCCTGGCACCCGGGTGACGACAGGGAATGGAAGAACTGGGAGGAGGGTGAAGATTTGGTGGCCGCGAAAGGAAGCTGGTGCGACAGGCCTGGGGAGTGGGGGAAGGATGGGCGGTGGTGGTGGTGGGGGGGTCTATCTGGCAGAGCCACGTGCTAATATTTCTTGTGCAGTGGCGTCCTTAAACCGGCTGCTCTCGCATTTTGCTACCCCGAGAGCTCTCGCAGGCATCGCCAGCGCCCAGAGATACAGAGGCGAGTTCCTTCTCCCGCACACACACCCGCTCGCTCCAGCGCGCACACACGTGCGTTCCCGCGTAAGCGGGACCCACCCGGACCCACCCCAGCGCCTCTTTCCGGGAAGAGCCCGAGGGGTGGGGTGCTGCAGATGGAAACTGCTCACAATCTCCTCCTTCTCAGCTTCCCCCTCCACGCCCCGGCTCTGGTCCAATCGCGGGTTTAGGAATTCGCTCCACCTTTCTGGTGGCTTTGTTCCGAGGGATCGTTAGTCGGGCGCTGCAGTTCAGGCGGCGCCTGCTCTCTCCAAGTCCCCTCCAGGGCTGCGGGAGGGACGTGGGGGTGGAGCTCGGTGGCGCCCCAGAGGCGCTGGGACAGCCGAGTCCTCTGGCTGGAGGGTCAAACTTGGGGCTGAGGGTGACGGTGCGGCGATCCATCTTAGAAAGAAACCCCAAAGGAACCCGGCGCACCAATGCATCAGGGAACACCAAAGTAGTCGCAAAGTCGCCACTAAAACCATCAGAGCTCGCCTCCTCGGTGATTTTCTGACCCCCAAAGTGAAAAATGAGGTTTCCCAGACGACCACGACGTGAGCCTGCTGAGTAAGAGTCCAGAAACTCCGGGAGGAGCAGAGAAAGAAAGAGAGCGAGCGAACGGTGCCAGTCTTCATCCACTTTCCACGTTATCGCTTCCGGACCTTCGCTGCAGGTGAAGGTGGTGTTAGTGGCTCCAGCGCCAATGAAGCAGGTGCTGCAAGCACTGCCCTGGCTCTCGGGCGCGAGGTTGACACCTTTTCTTTCTGTGCTACCTGCATCGCCTCTCTTTCTGGTTGAACTAAGTAGCAGAAATAGCTACGGTCCAGGAGACTTGCAGCTCTCTCTAGGGTCCAAAGTAGAGCTAGACACTGAATGAGAAAGCCAGAGACCTTGAGCATCGCTGGACGAAATAATTTTTTTCTAACTAACTTAACCTCTCAAGAAGTAATTACTTGTTTTCCTAGTGCCTGGACCGAGGTGAGGAGTGGGCATACTTTACCTGCTGTCAAACAACCAGAGTTGATATCAGGCAAAGCTTAACCACTCTCCTAGATGCCTTTCAGAAAAGGTGTATGTGGTGTTTGCTTGAGCAGAATGAAATCAATGTGCGTGTTTTTTTTTGTTTTTTTGTTTGTTTTGTTTTGGTTTGGTTTTGGTTTTACTATAAGTAATGATGGCTAACTTTTCAGTATTCTTTTTTATTGTAATCCCTAGAAGGTAGTTTAAACTTCTTGCACATGGTGTTTTTATTTTTGTTGCTGTTGCTCTTTCCTCTACTTTCTCCTTGGCATCTCCAGAAAGCACTTTAGTAAAGCCAAGCACAGTTGTTTGCTTCCTTCCCTCTTTCCCAGCAATTTGAGTTTGTCGGTTGGGCGGAAGACCAGAATTTTATATTTTGCATGTTTTTCTGTAGAAGATGGCAAGATTTTTAAATAAGGAAGTATATTATTCTCTCCCGAAAAATCTCAAACCTAACAGAAGGTGGTTTCGGGAGTTTTGTTTGTTTGTTTTAAAATTTCATTTCCTCCAAAGGTAGGAGGGAAGAAGGCCTCTAAAAACAGGGAAATTGGTAATTTCAAATTGCTACTATATAATTATTGTTGGAGTTAACCAACTCTCAAATAAGCATTCTTCTTTAGGGTGGAGGGGTGCCAGGGTAATGTTATATTTCTAAAAGTCCTAACCAATTCCTTGTAAAATAAGATGCCTGTGCTCATTAGCATCTAAAGATAACTAAAATTAATTTAAATTAAAAAATTATATTTTAGTGTTCAATTATGTTTGCCTTATTGATTTTCTTATTTCTGAAACATTTAGCCAAATCACTTTTAAAGTTATAAATTATATCATACTTCTCTCCTTCTTACATATAAACACATTTACATTTACATAAGTTAAGACCTATTGTTCATTTTAACAATACTTTTTAGTAGTTTATAATTTTAGACAATTCACAGCATTATGAATATTTTTCATTTAAAATTATGAATACCTGAAAGCATCACCATTCTCTAGATTTTATTTAGCATTTGAGTTTTTTGAAAATAATGAAAAAAATCCTGATTTACTATATATTTAAGGTCTTTAACACTTAGTATGATTAATCCATAAATTTTCTCTATTCTTTGGATTGACGTCTGAGATAAACTAACATTTTGGATAACTTGCTTTATGTATACTTTAATGAGTACCTTTCTATACACATTTATAAATTTCTAGAATCTATTGGGAAGGAGCTTTGATGGTTTTTCTTTTCTTGCTTTTTATTTTAAGTAATATTAAATTCACTGTTAAAATTTAAAAAGTATAGCACTAAAGGAGTAATGTTTTAAACCAATTTATACAAAATAATTAAATTAAACATCAAGATATTTTAAAAAGTCATTATTATAGTTGTGTCCTATAAAGTTTTGAGATCTGAAGAAAAACATTTCTGCTTATCTTAGAAGCATCTATCTATCTATAAGGTCCTAAGGTACTGATGGTGTTTACAATTATATCTTAACCAAAAACATAATTCAGCTGAACTCTAAACAGAGTTGGAAACCCGTTTACCAGTTTCTCCTTCATAAGTAAGCAAATTTTCATTTCTCCACTTTGGAACTCTCTCCAAAGTCAAATTTGTTTATAATTTAGCTTGTCTCAAAACACAAAAGAACTGTTTTTATTTTTTTTATTTCTCATTTCAGCTTGAGTAGGAAGTTTTCTTCTTTTTAAAAATGAGTAGTAATCATTTTCAATATTACTAATATTAGTGTTTAGGCATACAATGTTACTGCACCTCATCCACCACCAGAGTGTCCGTATCCCTTTTGTTCTCATCTATTCTGAATTACTATTTTATTTAAAAAAAATTAAAGAATGTATCATGGTGTTTTTACTGATCTTGTGAAAAATATCCATTTCCCTCTCTTACTATACCTTTGTGATATTTTTTAACCTCTAAAGGTCAAGAAGATGATGACAGCACACTATATCCTCTATATTGCTGAGATTTATCTTTTCAAAACTGTAACTACCACTAAAGAGCCAAGGAATCTTGCTGGAAACACTGATTTCTTTTAAAGGTGTTTTTGAATTTTATATAATGATTATTTTTAAGATAGTACTGAAGTCAGGAACATTTTTTAATTAATGAAGGAGTACTGCTATTTATTCAGCCATTGATTAAGCTGATTGAATTGGGCATGAACTCCATCCAAGTCAGGAACTTTTTGAAAGAGCTTAAAGTGAAGTTATATTTCAGCGTTAAACATTATTGGTTAGACAGTGCAATATATATATATGTATATATATGTGTGTGTGTTTAATATTGCAAGTAATGTGCAAACTCTATTCTAATATGTTAGACAAAATTTATATGACATATTTTTTCTTCTCTTACTTGCTTACACCCTGGTATCAGTTCCCTGTGATTGTCTAGTTCTCCCAGGTGGTTATCCAAAAGTTTCAAGTACAGCAACTTGCACAGGAATATCTATATTAACCATAGAAGAATGGTACAATATTGTGGTTTATCATTCTCTGCTCTTAATTATCTCCATGTAGTCACATAAAAGATATCTAATTAGCTTTTAAAGAGAAAGCAGTAATATTAAGTCAACTCAAACCAAAGTGTCAAATACTAGCAACTTACC